TTGCCGAAACACCGAAACAGTGTCCGCTCGATATCTCGAGTAATTTTTAACGGATTTACTTATAACAAGGTTAATTACCATGAAACCTCGGACAAGTTCGATAACCGCCATTATCCGACCATAATTTGTTGAGTTATGCCCCTTTATGGATTTGCCGAAACAGTGTCCGCTCGATATCTCGAGTAATTATTAACGGATTAACTTCAAACTTTCACAACAAGTTAATTACCATGAAACCTCGGACAAGTTTGATAACCGCCATTATCGGACTGTAATTACTGGAGTTATTCCCCTTGGTTTCATTAATGCGATGCATACGTTCCATGATGTTGTATTGCTCTCATTGATCTACCAGTTATGTTGAATGATTTCTCTTTTAATATCAATTACTCACAAATACTTCATATATTTCAATCATACAAACAACTGCTCATTCAATGTGTGACGGGCGTATTATATACCGCTCGCGGTAACCTTGTTTTAAATGACTTCTTCTTCTTAACCACTGATTGGAATTTAACTTAATTTGACTGGAAGCATCCATAGGCGGTGAGGATTCAAAATTTTACAAATGGTGTGGCTGACTCCCCAGGGGGCTGAGGGGCGGGCAAAAAGGGGGCAATTTGGCTATATTGCTTTAAGCGACTGCTTCTCTGGATCCAAAAGATGGATATCAACCATATTTGACTGGAAGCATCCCTAGGTGGTGGACATTCAAAATTGTACAAATGGTTGGACTGACCCCCCAGGGGGCTAAGGGCGGGGCCAAGAGGGGGCAATTTGGCTATATTGCTATAAATTACTTCTTCTGTAGAACTATGCACTGGATATCAATCATATTTAATCAAAAGCATTCATGGAATGCAGGGATTCCAAATTATACAAATGGTTGGGCTGACCCCCTGGGCTAAGGGGTGGGGCCAAAAAAAGTTAATTACTTGGAAATGGTTAAGATTCCCACCATATAACCATATATACAATCGCTGAGTATAAAGAGAAGAATGCACATTTGGTTCCAGGATGGCCCCACCCTTGGAGACATAGTCCCGGGGCCATAACTTAAAAACGGTTGAGATCCCCACCCCAAAACTATATATACAAATGCTTGGCAAAAAGAGACAAATGCAATCATTAGAATAGACCCTGAGGTCTGACCACAACCCTAGGGACCTAGTTCCTGAGTCACAGCTTGGAAACAGTTGAGATCCCCACCCCATAACCATACATAAAATAGCTGGGCATGAAAAATCTAATACAGATATGCTACAAGGATTGGCCTTGGGGTCTAGCATGTTCCCTTGGTTCTGATTTGGAGAATATTTTGCCATGATTGCTTAGGTATCCAGGTGAGTGATACAGGCCCTCTGGGCCTCTTGTATTAATATGTTTATGACGGACTATTTTCTTACGCGGATCACTTTTGTGTGGACGCTATTTCCGATTTTGGACGTCATTTGACACGAGCCGACATTCTTTTTTGAGAAAATACTTTCCCAAGTGCTGGGGAATGGGAAAATCCGTCCTCAAGTTCTTCTCAAGTTGTTCTCAAGTCGTTCTCAACTTCTTCTCATACTGACAACCAATGATAATGAATTTATCAGCTACCGGTAGGTGGTATAAAGTAGTATATAGATGATAATACACTATCAGTGATTCCATACAGGAATTATGAAAGCTCAGCATTAAAATAAATGTTCAATATATAGGCTGAAAAACTTGAAAGAGGAAGCTGCTCTAAGCCAGAAAAAATCATTTCAGTTGCCTTATCTTCTGTATTGAAGGGAGAATACTCGAAGTAAAAAATGTCTGAGTGTAACTCTTCTTTGCACAGTAGAACAGAGGTACAGTGTTGTGTGTCCCTGGTACAGAGGTACAGTGTTGTGTGTTACTGGTACAGAGGTACAGTGTTGTGTGTCCCTGGTTAAGAGGTACAGTGTTGTGTGTCACTAGTACAGAGGTACAGTGTT